AATTGTTTTAATTAAAATTTTTACATATTAATATTTTAAAGTGTTTACTTCAATGCTGTATTTTTGGTTATCTCATTAATTTACATCAATATTGTATATTTGTTTATCTCCTTAAAGGAAAAGGTAATTGTTTTAATTAAAATTTTTACATATTAATATTTTAAAGTATATACTTCAATACTGTATTTTTGGTTATCTCATTAATTTACATCAATATTGTATATCTGTTTATCTCCTTAAAGGAAAAGGTAATTGTTTTAATTAAAATTTTTACATATTAATATTTTAAAGTGTTTACTTCAATGCTGTATTTTTGGTTATATCATTAATTTACATCAATATTGTATATTTGTTTATCTCCTTAAAGGAAAAGGTAATTGTTTTAATTAAAATTTTTACATATTAATATTTTAAAGTATTTACTTCAATACTGTATTTTTGGTTATCTCATTAATTTACATCAATATTGTATATTTGTTTATCTCCTTAAATGAAAAGGTAATTGTTTTAATTAAAATTTTTACATATTAATATTTTAAAGTATTTACTTCAATATTGTAATTTTGGTTATCTCATTAATTTACTTCAATATTGTATATTTGTTTATCTCCTCAAAGGAAAAGGTAATTGTTTTAATTAAAATTTTTACATATTAATATTTTAAAGTATTTACTTCAATACTGTATTTTTGGTTATCTCATTAATTTACATCAATATTGTATATCTGTTTATCTCCTTAAAGGAAAAGGTAATTGTTTTAATTAAAATTTTTACATATTAATATTTTAAAGTGTTTACTTCAATGCTGTATTTTTGGTTATCTCATTAATTTACATCAATATTGTATATTTGTTTATCTCCTTAAAGGAAAAGGTAATTGTTTTAATTAAAATTTTTACATTTTAAAGTATTTACTTCAATATTGTATTTTTGATTATCTCATTAATTTACATCAATATTGTATATTTGTTTATCTCCTTAAAGGAAAAGGTAATTGTTTTAATTAAAATTTTTACATATTAATATTTTAAAGTATTTACTTCAGTACTGTATTTTTGGTTATCTCATTAATTTACATCAATATTGTATATCTGTTTATCTCCTTAAAGGAAAAGGTAATTGTTTTAATTAAAATTTTTACATATTAATATTTTAAAGTATTTACTTCAATATTGTAATTTTGGTTATCTCATTAATTTACATCAATATTGTATATCTGTTTATCTCCTTAAAGGAAAAGGTAATTGTTTTAATTAAAATTTTCACATATTAATATTTTAAAGTGTTTACTTCAATGCTGTATTTTTGGTTATCTCATTAATTTACATCAATATTGTATATTTGTTTATCTCCTTAAAGGAAAAGGTAATTGTTTTAATTAAAATTTTTACATTTTAAAGTATTTACTTCAATATTGTATTTTTGGTTATCTCATTAATTTACATCAATATTGTATATTTGTTTATCTCCTTAAAGGAAAAGGTAATTGTTTTAATTAAAATTTTTACATATTAATATTTTAAAGTATTTACTTCAGTACTGTATTTTTGGTTATCTCATTAATTTACATCAATATTGTATATCTGTTTATCTCCTTAGGAAAAGGTAATTGTTTTAATTAAAATTTTTACATATTAATATTTTAAAGTATTTACTTCAATATTGTAATTTTGGTTATCTCATTAATTTACTTCAATATTGTATATTTGTTTATCTCTTCAAAGGAAAAGGTAATTGTTTTAATTAAAATTTTTACATATTAATATTTTAAAGTATTTACTTCAATACTGTATTTTTGGTTATCTCATTAATTTACATCAATATTGTATATTTGTTTATCTCCTTAAAGGAAAAGGTAATTGTTTTAATTAAAATTTTTACATATTAATATTTTAAAGTATTTACTTCAATACTGTATTTTTGGTTATCTTATTAATTTACATCAATATTGTATATTTGTTTATCTCCATAAAGGAAAAGGTAATTGTTTTAATTAAAATTTTTACATATTAATATTTTAAAGTATTTACTTCAATACTGAATTTTTGGTTATCACATTAATTTACATCAATATTGTATATTTGTTTATCTCCTTAAAGGAAAAGGTAATTGTTTTAATTAAAATTTTTACATATTAATATTTTAAAGTATTTACTTCAATACTGTATTTTTAGCTATCTCATTAATTTACATCAATATTGTATATTTGTTTATCTCCTTAAAGGAAAAGGTAATTGTTTTAATTAAAATTTTTACATATTAATATTTTAAAGTATATACTTCAATACTGTATTTTTGGTTATCTCATTAATTTACATCAATATTGTATATCTGTTTATCTCCTTAAAGGAAAAGGTAATTGTTTTAATTAAAATTTTTACATATTAATATTTTAAAGTGTTTACTTCAATGCTGTATTTTTGGTTATCTCATTAATTTACATCAATATTGTATATTTGTTTATCTCCTTAAAGGAAAAGGTAATTGTTTTAATTAAAATTTTTACATATTAATATTTTAAAGTATTTACTTCAATACTGTATTTTTGGTTATCTCATTAATTTACATCAATATTGTATATTTGTTTATCTCCTTAAATGAAAAGGTAATTGTTTTAATTAAAATTTTAACATATTAATATTTTAAAGTATTTACTTCAATATTGTAATTTTGGTTATCTCATTAATTTACTTCAATATTGTATATTTGTTTATCTCCTCAAAGGAAAAGGTAATTGTTTTAATTAAAATTTTTACATATTAATATTTTAAAGTATTTACTTCAATACTGTATTTTTGGTTATCTCATTAATTTACATCAATATTGTATATCTGTTTATCTCCTTAAAGGAAAAGGTAATTGTTTTAATTAAAATTTTTACATATTAATATTTTAAAGTGTTTACTTCAATGCTGTATTTTTGGTTATCTCATTAATTTACATCAATATTGTATATTTGTTTATCTCCTTAAAGGAAAAGGTAATTGTTTTAATTAAAATTTTTACATTTTAAAGTATTTACTTCAATATTGTATTTTTGGTTATCTCATTAATTTACATCAATATTGTATATTTGTTTATCTCCTTAAAGGAAAAGGTAATTGTTTTAATTAAAATTTTTACATATTAATATTTTAAAGTATTTACTTCAATACTGTATTTTTGGTTATCTCATTAATTTACATCAATATTGTATATTTGTTTATCTACTTAAAGGAAAAGGTAATTGTTTTAATTAAAATTTTTACATATTAATATTTTAAAGTATTTACTTCAATATTGTAATTTTGGTTATCTCATTAATTTACTTCAATATTGTATATTTGTTTATCTCCTCAAAGGAAAAGGTAATTGTTTTAATTAAAATTTTTACATATTAATATTTTAAAGTATTTACTTCAATACTGTATTTTTGGTTATCTCATTAATTTACATCAATATTGTATATTTGTTTATCTCCTTAAAGGAAAAGGTAATTGTTTTAATTAAAATTTTTACATTTTAAAGTATTTACTTCAATATTGTATTTTTGGTTATCTCATTAATTTACATCAATATTGTATATTTGTTTATCTCCTTAAAGGAAAAGGTAATTGTTTTAATTAAAATTTTTACATATTAATATTTTAAAGTATTTACTTCAGTACTGTATTTTTGGTTATCTCATTAATTTACATCAATATTGTATATCTGTTTATCTCCTTAAAGGAAAAGGTAATTGTTTTAATTAAAATTTTTACATATTAATATTTTAAAGTATTTACTTCAATATTGTAATTTTGGTTATCTCATTAATTTACTTCAATATTGTATATTTGTTTATCTCTTCAAAGGAAAAGGTAATTGTTTTAATTAAAATTTTTACATATTAATATTTTAAAGTATTTACTTCAGTACTGTATTTTTGGTTATCTCATTAATTTACATCAATATTGTATATCTGTTTATCTCCTTAAAGGAAAAGGTAATTGTTTTAATTAAAATTTTTACATATTAATATTTTAAAGTATTTACTTCAATATTGTATTTTTGGTTATCTCATTAATTTACATCAATATTGTATATTTGTTTATCTCCTTAAAGGAAAAGGTAATTGTTTTAATTAAAATTTTTACATATTAATATTTTAAAGTATTTACTTCAATACTGAATTTTTGGTTATCACATTAATTTACATCAATATTGTATATTTGTTTATCTCCTTAAAGGAAAAGGTAATTGTTTTAATTAAAATTTTTACATATTAATATTTTAAAGTATTTACTTCAATACTGTATTTTTAGCTATCTCATTAATTTACATCAATATTGTATATTTGTTTATCTCCTTAAAGGAAAAGGTAATTGTTTTAATTAAAATTTTTACATATTAATATTTTAAAGTATTTACTTCAATACTGTATTGGTTATCTCATTAATTTACATCAATATTGTATATCTGTTTATCTCCTTAAAGGAAAAGGTAATTGTTTTAATTAAAATTTTTACATATTAATATTTTAAAGTATTTACTTCAATATTGTAATTTTGGTTATCTCATTAATTTACTTCAATATTGTATATTTGTTTATCTCCTCAACGGAAAAGGTAATTGTTTTAATTAAAATTTTTACATATTAATATTTTAAAGTATTTAATTCAATACTGTATTTTTGGTTATCTCATTAATTTACATCAATATTGTATATATGTATATCTCCTTAAAGGAAAAGGTAAATGTTTTAATTAAAATTTTTACATATTAATATTTTAAAGTATATACTTCAATACTGTATTTTTGGTTATCTCATTAATTTACATCAATATTGTATATCTGTTTATCTCCTCAAAGGAAAAGGTAATTGTTTTAATTAAAATTTTTACATATTAATATTTTAAAGTATTTACTTCAATACTGTATTTTTGGTTATCTCATTAATTTACATCAATATTGTATATTTGTTTATCTCCTTAAAGGAAAAGGTAATTGTTTTAATTAAAATTTTTACATATTAATATTTTAAAGTATATACTTCAATACTGTATTGGTTATCTCATTAATTTACATCAATATTGTATATCTGTTTATCTCCTTAAAGGAAAAGGTAATTGTTTTAATTAAAATTTTTACATATTAATATTTTACAGTATTTACTTCAATATTGTTATTGTGGCAATCTTAAATAATGATACCAACTTCATACCGAAAGTCCAAATATTATAAATGTATAATTTATTATATTTGTACTTCTCCAACCTGCCATGGTAGAGGATTTACATTAAATAATGTATTTATTCTGACAGCAGAATGCAATGGTAAATTATTTAATATGCAAGATTTTAATATACAAGATGTAATTTATTATTCTCTAGATATTTGCAACTACTTGAGAGCAAGAAGAGGAAGTATTTTACAATATAATATGAAAATCAAATTAATATATTTTTCCTTAAGTATCATTGGGAAGAAATGAAGATAATGTGACTTCTGTGAATATTCATAAACAAGAAGATGGAAGTGCTGTGAGGATTTCTGGGATCCTTGAAGAAGGTCCGGAGTCGATATATTCGATGATCAATCCTATTCGAGAAGATGCTGATTTTGGTTAATCAAAATTTTGTTAATATATTTTCTTTTTAATTTAATCATAGTTAATCAAAATTTTTTTAGTATATTTTCTTTTTAATTTTATCATAATTAATCAAAAATATATTTTTCCTTAAGAATCGATGGGTAGAAATGAAGAGATTGTGACTTCTGTGATTAATCATGAACAAGAAGATGGAGGTGCTGTGGGGATTTCTGGGATCCTTGAAGAAGGTCCGGAGTCGATATCCTCGATGATCAATCCTATTCGAGAAGATGCTGATTTTGGTTAAACAAAATTTTGTTAATATATTTTCTTTTTAATTTTATCATAGTTAATCAAAATTTTGTTAGTATATTTTCTTTTTAATTTTATCATAATTAATCAAAAATATTTTTTTCCTTAAGAATCGATGCGTAGAAATGAAGAGATTGTGACTTCTGTGATTAATCATGAACAAGAAGATGGAGGTGCTGTGGGGATTTCTGGGATCCCTGAAGAAGGTCCGGAGTCGATATCCTCAATGATAAATCCTATTCGAGAAGATGCTGATTTTAGTTAATCAAAATTTTGTTAATATATTTTCTTTTTAATTTTATCATAGTTAATCAAAATTTTGTTAGTATATTTTCTTTTTAATTTTATCATAATTAATCAAAAATATTTTTTTCCTTAAGAATCGATGGGTAGAAATGAAAAGATTGTGACTTCTGTGATTAATCATGAACAAGAAGATGGAGGTGCTGTGGGGATTTCTGGGATCCCTGAAGAAGGTCCGGAGTCGATATCCTCAATGATAAATCCTATTCGAGAAGATGCTGATTTTGGTTAATCAAAATTTTGTTAATATATTTTCTTTTTAATTTTATCATAGTTAATCAAAATTTTGTTAAAATATTTTCTTTTTAATTTTATCATAATTAATCAAAAATATTTTTTTCCTTAAGAATCGATGGGTAGAAATAAAGAGATTGTGACTTCTGTGATTAATCATGAACAAGAAGATGGAGAGGATGATCTCCATGTTTTACCATATTTGGACGAAAGTTTTATAGATGAAGATGTTGTAATCGATATCTCCATTGCAGCTGATAGCTCTGTAACTTTACCAATATCAGTTAATAACATTCAATTCTCATATTTAAATGTAGAACAGCCATATAATTTTATTCTTTCCCATAAAAAACGTAATTTGTTATATTCAAATAAATTTCTATATGTTCATCATAAATTTGGAATTTTATTTAAATGTAGACTAAGTCATTGTACGGCAAGAGGTACATTATTAAATATGCAGTTTACATTGACACATATTCACAACCATCCTTCTGAATCTGAGGAAGAGCATTATGCAATTTTAGTAACTATGAATAAACTTAAAGAACAAATTCGAGCGTACCCCTATCAAAGCAAACGTAAAACATATAATCAAGTTATGCATATTAGAAAAATGGATCCTCTTTTAACTCTATTCTAATGCTCTACCAACATTTCTATCTGTCAAAACTATTATGAATCGTGTTATTAAATCATTGAGACCACCTTTGCCTCTTATAAATTCTGATATCCGATTATACGGGGATTATAAATTAACACTTGATAATAAGACTTTTTTAATTTGTAATGAAAATAATGAATATTTTCTACACATGAACTACTTGAAAGTCTCTGTAATGCCGACCAAATTTTGATGGACGGCACATTTTTTTCGTGTCCTATATTACAATTATACACTATTCATATAAGGATTAATCATACAATAATTCCTTGCGCATATATATTATTGCCAAATAAAAATAAAGAAACGTATCTAAAAATGTTGAATCTTTTAAAAAACTATTGCCGATCTATAGGTATTTCCCTTTCTCCTTCTAAAGCACTTATAGATTTCGAAATGGGAGCACTTACAGCACTCGAAGAAATTTTTCCAACCATTTCTGTCAAGGGATGCTACTTTCATTATTGTCAATATATTTTAAGACGAATACAGGGTAATAGGTTGACAGCATATAGTCGTCTTAATCCTGATTTTAATAGATTTTATCGCAGACTAATGGCGATACCCTTCTTAACCGAAATCGACATACCATTGGTATTGTCAGAATTAAATAATGAAGTAGAGGCCTTTAATTTAGATCCCATAAGAGATCTCTTTACATACTTTAAAAGTACTTGGATTAACCCAAACGCTATATTTAAATATAAGATGTGGAACATGTATGATGTTCAAGGTGTAAGAACATGAGGGATTTCATCGTTCTTTAAAAGAGTATATAACATATTCTCATCCTAATTTATATCTTTTTATTGATATATTAAAACAAATACAACAAGATATGGATATAAAATTTATCCAATTGCGTAATTGGAAAAAAGTTACCGAAAGAAAAAAAAAATACTGTATAATAGACGAGAAAATCAGACAAGAAACATTTTTATATTACACTACTTATACACCAATGCAGTATTTAGATAAAATATCAAGATATTTAATATCGAAAAAAAATAATGATATACCTGCTGACTAGATTATTTTTCATTTAAATTTTTTTTTTTCGATATTAAATATCTTATCCAAGATATGCGAAAATAAAGATTTTAATTCACAGAAATATCTTCGTAGAATATTTGATTTTTTGACTTTCTAAATACTACTAAGGTGTATAGGTAGTGTAATATAAAAATATTTCTTGTCTATTTTGCAGTATTTTTTTTTCTCTCGGTAACTTTTTTCCCATTTATTTGTTATAACATATCAATAAAAATATATAAATTAGGATAAGTAACAATAAGTAATATACACTTATAGAACGATAAAATCCTTCAACATGGTTATTTGTTCTTACACCTTGAACATCATACATGTCAAAGATATAAATTAGGATGAGAATATGTTATATAATCTTTTAGAGAACAATAAAATCCTTCAACATGGTTATTTGTTCTTACACCTTGAACATCATACATGTTCCACATCTTATATTTAAATTTAGCGTTTGGGTTAATCCAAGTACTTTTAAAGTATGTAAAGAGATCTCTTATGGGATCTAAATTAAAGGCCTCTACTTCATTATTTAAATCTGACAATACCAATGGTATGTCGATTTCGGTTAAGAAGGGTATCGCTATTAGTCTGCGATCTTAAAATCAGGATTAAGAATTCTATATGCTGTCAACCTATTACCCTGTATTCGTCTTAAAATACATTGACCATAATGAAAATAGCAGGTTGGAAATATTTATTCGAATTCGTAAGTACTCTCATTTAAAAATCTATAATGGCTTTAGAAGGAGAAAAGAAAATACCTATAGATCGACAATGGTTATTTTTAGAATTCTTTATTTTTATTTGGCAATAATATATACGCGCAAAGAATTATTGTATGAATAGTGTATAATTGCTTAAATAATATAGGACACGAAAAAAATGTGCCGCCCATCAAAATTTGGTCGGCATTACAGAGACTTTCAAGTGTAGAAAATATTAATAATTCATTATTTTCATTACAAATTAAAAAAAGTCTTATTATCAAGTATTAATTTATAATCGGATATCAGAATTTATAAGAGGCAAAGGTGGTCTCAATGATTTAATAACACGATTCATAATAGTTTTGACAGGTAGAAATGTTGGTAGAGCATTAGGATGGAGTTGAAAGAGAGGATCTATTTTTCTAATACGCATAACTTGATTATATGTTTTGATAGTTGTAAGCTCTAATTTGTTCTTTAAGTTTATTCACTAAAATATAATTCTCTTCTTATGATTCATCAGGCTGGTTGTGAATATGTGTCAATGTAAACTTCATATTTAATAATATTCCGATAATAGTTTTCACAGAAAGAAATGTTGTTATAGCATTGAAATGGAGTTGAACACTTTTGCTTAGATAAAGTATGTTAGATATTAACTTGCATATTCACATTCAACAGATTCAATTGTTATGCATATATTTTTATTAAAAAACGTAAAAAACGTTAAATTATAAAGGTTGAAATTATTATTTTTGGGGAAAAGTAAAATTATATGACTGAATCGATATTTACATTGTGGATGTATGTTCTATTTGTGAGGAAAAGATTGGTGAAATCGATTACATCTTTTTCATCCATAAAATTTTTGTCTAGTTTTTTTCAATATGTTTTAGTTCGACAATTAATTTTTACATTACAAATAGAATCTGAATGTCATATTATTTATAATTAAATATTATATTTTATTATAGGATATTTGTAGCTTTTTAATTTTTTGTCATATAAATTGAGAATTTTTGAAAATATATTTTAAAATAAAACTTTATTATTCATATTTTTTGTATCATGTCTAAATATATGGAAGGAGATAATTTATAAAAGAAATGTAGAATATAAATATAATCATTATTATATTCATAAAATCAATTTCACATTTTTAACTTAAAACAATCGATTAATTAATTATTAGACTTTTCACATGTCTTGGTCAATAATAGGTATAAAAATTATAAAATCTGATTACTTCAAAAAATATAGACTTAGAATTTAAATAAATATGTAATTGAAACTTACCTAATCTTAACAATTTAATAGATTAGAAATAATTAAACACTTTTGATTTAGATATTATTAAAAAATAATTTCTTAATGTGATTTGCTGGATGATGTTAACTTTTCAAAATTTAGTTATCCACAGTTAAAGATCTTGATAAATATATGTACATTTCACTAGCAATGTAAAGTTTAATATAGCTTCGAATCTGAAGGGTTCAGAAATTTAAAATGGTTTGGTTGGATATTTTCAGAGGACAAAGCCTAAAGACCTAGAATACAATAGAAATGACAATTTATTACAAATAAGTAACATGTACTTAAAACATAAACACCAAAATAAATTTTAAATATATGCGTAGTTAAGGATTTCATCTGGTAATATCTATAATCAGTGTCTACATGGCCGGGGTGGGTAGGAGACATAGCCTCCAAATTATTCAACCCTAGAACTCGAGGGCAATGCTATATTAAATTTAATATATATTTTTTTATATAAGTAATATCATCAAAATTTTTCATTCGATGATTTTTAGATTTAAAAAAATGCGTCTAAAAGATTTTCAATAATATTATTCCAAAAAAATCATCGATAGTTGGTGTCTTTTTTGATGTGTCTAAAATTATAATAATAATAGTTAAAATTATACCTAAAACTAATTATTTATTATAAGATATTCGATTTGATTAGATTCGTATTTACGAATACGAATAACACAATTTCGATTCAAAAATAATAATAGGAAAATATATTATTCTTCAAATATTTTATCTATTATTCGATCGAATAATTCGAGATTATTCGATTAAAATAATTTATTAATAATATATAATTAGTAGGAATTATTTACAATTATTCCTATTTAATAAAATTTCCTAGGAAAAATGAAGAAACATTTTATATTTCTAAATGTTGTTAACGGCTGTTTTTATTCGAATAATTCATAATACAAAATTAACCTCCGAAAATTGTTTTATGATGGACGAAGAAAGTATTTATTTATATGTAATTTATAACTCATATACAATTTTAAATAACTAGCTATCCCGTTAAGAATGAGGGGCGAACCAGATAGTTTTTCTTTAAAAATTTGTTGTTGGTATATTTGTTTTACATGATTTGAATATTATATTGATTTTTCTACATTATTATACTATATATGTATCTATATTATCTTACTAATAAAATATGTTTCTCTTTTATCCAAAGTTAAATTTTACAAAATAAATTTAATATGCTATCTTTTTTAATTTACGGTTTTAAATAAAATTTTCAAATTGAATTGAATATTCGACGAATCGAATCGAATAATCATTTTATTATTCCTACGAATATTAATTGTTCGATTCGATTCGTATTTTTGTATATCTAGTTAAAATAATGTAAAGGATAAGTGGCATAAATGGCTATATGAAGATAATAATTGAAATATTTTTAGTCTAATGCACACACACACAGTATAGAATGAGGAAAGGGAGAGAAAAAAATAGGTAGGGAGCTTTAAGATATCTTCTCCAAAATACTCAGTGGGGCATATTAAAAAAATATATTTTGAAGCTTTTTATCTTAGATAAAAATAGAAAATAGTGGATAAAAATTTATATTATTTTACGTCATATTAAATCTTTATACCTGTCATCTGACAGTTTGTCAATAACCTTTCTTTTATATCTGACAAAACAGATGCAAGATTATCGGTTTATTCTATTATTATTTGAAATCATTTATATTAATCGAGGATTATGATATGTTTTAATAGTCTTTCTTAATATATATAAATAAATATTATTTTATATATATTTAAATATTTTATTTATAATTGTTAAATATATTTATATAAAGTTAAATATTATTTCTATATTAGTACAATTAAAAAATTTAATATGTTTTACTTTTATAAATAATTATTGTATAAATATTTATAAATTTATTAAAATTTTAAAAATGTTAAAAATAAAATTTAAAAAAATGTTAAAAATGTCTAGTTTGTATTCACCATCTTTCTTCTTTTTAACGCGAAAACAGCTGTGGGATATTTAGGACCCGAACCTATTTTAGAGCATGATTTATTTATTAATTAATTTTTTTATTTATTTTTTATAGATATGGTATAAAATTTTTAGATATTTACATTGTTTTTATCTTATTATAATCTTTTAATATTGAATTCCTAAAGATTTAAATTACTTAAAAAAAATTAATAATTTACTTTAATTATAATTATTAGTTGGTTAAACGGCTCGATTAAAGCCGATTTTAAAAGCGACTCATTATTTTAGTCAGAAAAATATTGCCTTAGCCGCGAGATTTCGTTAATAGATGTTGAAACCTTTGTGCCACCTATGAGAATAAACTTAAGGCTCGCATAATATTTTTTCAAATATAATATGAGTTAGCGTTTTTAAAAATCGGCTTAAAATGAGCCGTTTAACAACACACTAATAATTATGTAAATATTTTGGTTGAAGTTTCAAATTTGGTTCATATTATTAATTTTTACTATATATCTAGTTTTATGAGGTTAATTGCTTAATTTAAATCTAATTGCTTTAAAAGAATTATTTAAATTAAAAAAAAAAAAATTTTTTTTAGTTTGTTGTAAATAGCCTAACTTAGGCCTACTCGAATATGGCTTAGGCTAGAATTTTACCTAAAATTGATTTAAGAGCTAGCTTATTTAGGATAAAAACTCTAAAACGTATGGAATTTATAATTAAGGAAAATCGGTTTATTTTCTGATATATATTTTGCAATTAAAATTTGTTCGAGCAAGAAAATAATCTTAGAACAAAAGTCAAACTTCATTGTTGATGATCATTAAAAATAATATTCAAAAATATTATAAATTTTTATAAGAAAAATATATAATCAAAGATGAGAAGAATTCTCAAAACAAGAGAAAATAGTGATTTTGTTTGTAAGACTTTCATTAATTAATATTATTAATTAAATAATAATAAACAAAAAATATAGCAGATTTATTTTATCCGTCCTTATAAATGGAGTTATAATAAATGAGTTATTTATATGAAAAATGCAAGAAAATATATATCATAAAATTGCAAATACAACATTATCCTAATCTTAACTGACAAATGCCACTAATAACTTTAAAAAAAGATTTCAAATAAGTACTAATCAATTTGATTTAAAATATTATTATATTATGTCATACTTTAGCAAAATATTTGGCACACTCGAATTTATCTAGACCCATGGCACCACTAGCGTCTATTGCTAGCACAACATCTATGGGATTGATCCTTATTGATCTTTTATCCTTATTATGTTTCAATAAAATTTTAACACCTTGTAACATCTTGACCAATTTTTTGGCCACCTTATCCACGTAAGCTTCGAAATCATGATGATTAAATTTTGTTCCCTTTATTTTAGCTTTTTATTTGTAGAAAATAGGAAAAATGAAATTTTTCAAAAAATGATTAAAATATTTCTGATTCAAACATTTAAAAAAATAATGTACATGTAGTTTTTTTAATCTTGAGTTAATAGTTAAGAAAATTATTATGTTAGCCTAAATATTTGAATACAATACGTCTTTTATAGGAATATTAGATATAACAAAACTTACAGTTCAATATGGTTCAGAGTTGTTTAATATAATTCTTAGTTAGTCAGGATTTTTCATTTTTTATGATATATAAAAAAAGATATTACTACTATAGATTTGGGTAGCGGGTGAAGGAGGTCCTGGTGTGGAATAAGGGGCTGTGCTATAGTAATCGACGAATGATAATACGATATGACTAAGTGAAATCGTTAAAAACGAAACGTAAAAAAGTGTTTTTAAATTCATTTTTAAATAAAAATTAAAAAGATATGTATTTAAATAGGTAAAAATTAATTCTTTTTTTAGCTAACTTCTTTTTATAATTATAATATTTTGTTTTAAAATAAGAAATTAATTATGTCAATTTCTCTAAAGATTTTTTTCAAATTTTACGAAATGTATATCATGACTTAAAGGTGATAAATTTTTATGATACGGTAAATTGACGCTTTGTTAATTATTATTGCTGACAAATGTCCAAGACCTATATTTAAAAAAGTTATTTTATATTATAATAAAATGTATATCTACCCTGCTTTATTTTGCATCTCTAAAATATCTAGGGATTTATTTTATGTCAAAATGAATATGTTAAAATTTAGTTGACATTTTTAGATTTAAAAAAATTAATATGGTTTTCAAAAAAATTCTAGTAGAAATTACAAAAAGAAACCTTAAAAAATTAATTGTTTTATTTTTACCTTGGCTTTATTGTAATGAACAAATATGTATATATATTATTGAGGGATAAAATTAGTGTTTGTCTTATAGTATAATTATTTTTGAAAGCATGATATAAATTTTATTTAAAAAAATATATACATATGTTTGAGTGAGATTGTGATTGTATGCGATAGAAAGTTTGATTAGTTTAATGATCTGCCTACAATTCAATTATTAAATAAATTTTTACAGTAATGAATTTTACCCTATTTCATCAATGGAAACTCCTCAACAAATATGACCCCCATTAGATGCATGCTCCCTATCCCCCCTTGAGCCCTATCCACCCTCCCAATGTCTACCTTTTATCTCGTTTAGATGCCTACTCCATACCACCCTTCAAATTATTTGGAGATAAACTTCCTCTACCACCCCCCCCTCCACTTATGTAGACGACCCTGGTTGGAAGAAAGGTAAGATGCTTCTACCACCCCCCCCTCCACTTATGTAGACGACCCTGGTTGGAAAAAAGGTAAGATGCTTGAGCTTTTAACTAACTAAGAATTTTAGTCACTCCTAAACTGAAAAAATCACCTTAAAAATGTTGTAGAAAGAGTGATGTATTAGAAGTGGGGTTCTCTATTAAGAATAAAAGAAGAGATTCTATATACGCGACAGAACCATTGGAGATGCATTGAAGTGAAAAAATTGGATGACGTCAAGTATGGATCGAATCATAGGTGAAAACAATGTTATGGATTGGGTTTGAAATGATGGAACATCCCTGTATTAAGCAAAGTATGAAGGCATAACTGATCCAATTAAAACTTAAATATAAACAGTGCATACTAAATTAACTTTACAAATTAATTTTATTATAAACTCTTACATTACCCAATAAATTCTCAAATTATGTATTTCCAACTCCCAATCCCCATAATACCAATCTATTATTCATAAATATTTTTTTTCTAAATTATGTATATGCCAGTTCCAATCCACAAAATCTCAATCTATTACCCAAAAACATATATTTACCATATTTCTTAGTTGTAGCATGATTAAGAATATACATTTAGAGATCTCTATTTGATATTTCGACACTCTTGATTAAAACGTTAAAAATTAACTTATTTTTATTTATAAATTTAAAAAAAATAAGCTCCTGGAGTTGTTATATAACATTTTAAAAATTATTGTATAATATTATCACCTTACATTAAATCCTCACCTCAAGGGATGATTTATACGGTGATAAGGGTGGTTAGCATTATTGTATATAATCATCACCTAACATTAAATCATCACCTCTAGGAATGATTTATAATGTGATAAGGGTAGTTAGCATGTATAATATACAACAAACTTAAATATAAGTGTATTGATTGTAAAATACTATAGTATAAGAATATATTATGAAAATTTTCCTAGGATAATGTAAAAATAACAATCGTAAGATAATAATGTATAACGATATGTAAGCAATTATATATTAAATATATTGGAATTATGAATTAATGTCCAAGGACATAACGAACATTTATCGAATATAACTGCTATATTTAAGTAAAAACATATTATATATTATTATGTTAATCGACCCTTTATTATCAACTGATAAATCATCCCTTGAGGTGATGATTTAATATAAAGTGATATTATTATACAATCTATATATAATATTTAAGATGTTATACAGCATCTCGGTGTAAAGAAGCCCTTACTCTCAACCCTTCCTATAATCTTGCTGCCATTTGTACATAAAACAAAAATATCAGACTTATACCCTTCAAATTCTTTATTTGCTATAAACGTTCATAATATCAATATTAACATTCATATGAAAACAAGTAAACAATAATATACATAGTAAAATGTGAAATCTTCAAGATCAGTCCAAGTCATCCATTATATTCTGTGCATTCTTGATCTCTTTGTCCTCCCACCATGGCATCCCGTGATCGGCAGAGGATATTTACCTACAAACGGGGTAAATAGCATATTATGATATTTGCCCCAGTGGTTAAATATACTTTATAATGATAAAATTATAGTTGCTCCCAGATGTTAATATTTGACCCCAGATGATAGTATTTGCCCCAGATGTTAATATCATATATAACGATAAAATTATATTTATCCCCTGACGATAATATTTGCCTCAGATGTTAAATACCATTTATTAATGATAAAATTATATTTGCCCCCAGATGATAATATTTGCCCCAGTTAGTTAAATAGCATTTATAACGATAAAATTATATTTGCCCATTAGTTTTTAAAATATATTAGGCATGGATTATTTTTAATCTAATATATAGATAAGCTAAAGAAAATCCTTATTTTTTATTATATAATAGATAGGTTATCATAGATAGATATTATAAGTTTTTTCAAATTATATTTGAAATATATAAATTTAAAAAATCCTTTTTCATTGTTAATCTAATTTAAAACATATCCATCCATTTATTACAAAGTTGGTAAGTCAATTTGATTTAAAACCCCTATTTATTAAAAACATCAAATAAAATCTAAATTTGTTCAAAATGCTTAATATAGACAAAGACTTATATTATTATAGAATTAAATAAAGTTTATATGATATGGATTATATTATAATCTAAATTATTGACAAACTTAAGAAAACCCTTAAATTTTTTATTATATAATAGATAGATTATCACAGATTTTATCAGTTTTTTAAAATTTTTTAATTGAAATATATCAATTTAAAAAATCCTTTTCCATTGTGATCTTATTAAAAACATATCCATTTATTGTACAGTTGACAAATAAATTTAATTCACCCCTATTTTTTAAAAAACATCTAATAAAATCTAAATTTGATCAAAATGCATAAAGACAAAGACTTAAATTTTTATAGAATAAAAATTTTCATGATATGGATTTTTATTATAATCTAAATTATTGATGAGCTAAAGAAAACCCTAAAATTTCTTATTATATAAAAGATAGGTTAGTTTTTTAAAAATTTATATTTGAAATATATAAATTTAAAAAATCCTTTGTCATTGTTAATCTTGTTATTACCCATATATTTATTGCAAAGTTGTAGTCCAATATATTGAGATTATCTACTTATTTGATAAAAAAAAAACTATTTCTTTATTAGAAACAGTTCTTTTATAAAGTTAACCTTGTTAATACCCATATATTTATTGCAAAGTTGTAGTCCAATATATTGAGACTATCTACTTATTTGATAAAAAAAACAAAGTAAAATAAGCACATTTCCTTTATTAGAAACAGTTCTTTTATAAAATAATAACTATAGAACGTTTATATAAGTTTTATATAATAAAAACTAAATATTATAAATGTTAATATAAAAAATGTAAAATAAATGCGAAATATTAATATTATAAATGTTGGCATGATCTACAAAACCATAATATTTTCCTAGGCTTTTTATTAATATTCTGGCAATGGAAATGATACCAGTTTAAACAAATATCACATATATAGAACAGTTTTCTAATTCCATTTGGGAATCTTGCACAGCCATATATCATTCTTTATTATTTGCATAAGACTCTCAATGTGCAAATATGCATCATTAGTAACATAGGGAGCAATTAAACACACATCAATGTCAACATTATTTAAGCACTGCAGTAGGAAGCAAAGGGACATCCTCTTTAAAATATCGTTCTTATTAAATACTTTTTTTAAAGAGTCGGGTTTGATAATTTTTTTTAATATCCATATTGCTTGCTCATCTTTCAGTAGTGCTGAAAATGGTTTTATCTCTTCTGAAAATAAATATATAGGAATGTTTAATAATATAAAAATATACTATTCAAAATGCATTTTGTTTCAGACCTGGATATTCTTTTCTAAAATAAAATAAAAATTATAGTATAATATAAAATAAAAATTATAGTATAAATAAAATAAAAATTATAGTATAATATAAAATAAAAATTATAGTATGAAATATTTTAATACGAACCTGTATTTATTTTATCCGTGATTATAAAATTAATAAATTCTTTCTGACAATCTGTTATAAGGGGAGATGATAGTAAAAGGAATATAGTAAATATAAATATTGTATAAATAAATGAAATGTTTTTTCTATATCATCATCCAGGTTTATGATTCCAACACTATTATCATTGTTAGGTATATCAAGATTATCATTTATATATTTTTTTTTCTGATTAAAAATTTTGAGATTATATATTTCAATAAAATTTACTTATTCCTCCCTTTTTTGTTATTCCTATTACAGATAGGTCTATTTTTCTTGGTCTGCCTTGTGATTTTAATCTAGCTGGTAATCTAAGTTTTCTAATTTTATTATCTAAATAAATAATAAAAAGTATTTATTTGATAAAAAGATAATATTTTTAAGACCAATATCCTGCGTTGTTGTATTAAATGACATATAATCATTCTCTTTTTCTTCGGGGTCTGAAGAAAAAAATAAAAATTTATTATTTAAAATATAATATAACCAATAATACAAGAAGTTGTGGATGTTGACATAACAATTTTATTGTGCTCTATTGTTCTTTTGTCAATCATATCAAGGTCTAGAGAAAATATATAAATCA